CGGGGCTAAGGTCCCAAAAATACCCAGGTAGAAACAAGTACTTACAGTGAACAACTAATTATGCGATAAAGATATTATATAGGATACATCACACAGATCTTTTCAAATTCACGTTCACACAGAATCAAAGATTAACACCAAGTTAATCAGCACACGGTCAAACACATATGCAACAAATGCATAAATGACCTCATGAAAGATCTCACCACACTTATCCTATCCCATTTCATGTTACTCCCATCTCGAGAACACATATCTCCTCTCATCGCCCACCATGCTTACTAAATAGATCACACAACTCATGTCAAAATGGTAAGTCACAATAGATCCTAAGTTCAGGGATAATCCTCTATCACCACATCACTTCTCCTAACCTACGTGGATAATGGGACTCCACCTTACAGAAGTGATAGAATTGTCTCTCTCGCACTCCACCTGTACAGGGTCTCTTTCACAGATAAAGGATTCTACACATTTGATCACATCTCCACTCGTGATCCAAATGTCACACTCCACATCCCCCGGTACAAATCACCATGTACCCCTAGGCATCTATACTCCACCTTACCAGAAGACATCTAACACACTGCTAATGCATCCTAACCCATTATGCATGCAAACGATCACACCAAGTAATCACATTACCTCAAATTCATGCAGACACACATATCAAACAAATTGAAATGCAACATATAGTCATGCAACAAATTAGGCAATCACACACATGCTGAAAGGATTACACACAAATGCATATGCAGTGACTAGGTTTACTCTCTCAATAAACCTCATTGGGGTCATAACTCGACCCCTCAACCACATTCGTCTCACCTCTCACATAACCCTTCTGCTTATCCTTCTTCTTGGGACAATCCCTAATAAAGTGTCCAAACTTACCACAACTATAACATCGTCTACCACCAGACTTGTCCCGTCCCTTGCCCTTCATCTTACCACCTTCATCACTCGAGTCACTACTCGAATCACCGCCATTTTGAACTCTACCCAAATTCATTTTCTTAAACTTCATCCCACTCCTTATCATGTGTAACTCACCACTCCTCTTATCTTCATTTTCAACTTTCATTTCTATCTCCTTACTCCTAAGTGAGTCTACGACAATCTCGGGAATCAATGTATCCCTACCATACTTAATGTCATTTTTAACTTCCTTATATGACTCAGGCATAAAATTAAGTAAGATTATAGCCTTGTAGGTTTCAGATACGGTTTCTTCACAGTTAACAATATCTTGGACAAGTTTATTGAAAACATCTAAATTGTCATCAAGATCCTTTGAAGGATCCATTTTAAAACTGAAGAAACGCTCAAGAAGATAAAGTTTATTGGGAGTGGATTTAAGCAAATATAGATCTTCCAACTTTTTTCAAAGATCTTTTGTGATCTTCAGTTTTCCTACTTTTCTCAAAACAGCGTCAGACACATGTAAAATGATTGAGGTATAAGCAAGCTCATCGACTTCTTCTTTTTATTCTTTTGAAAAATTAGCTGGAAAATTGCCTTCAATGGCTTTTGAAACCTTTTTGTTGGACTAAAATACCCTTCATTTTTTATTTCCAGATTGAAAAATCACCTTTTCCATTGAAAATACCAACTTCGAAATGTCAAGACATTTTGAAAAAACGAAGCAATCAATTAGGCAAATAGATCTCACAAAGTAATCCTACGACCGCAATATACACCGTTCTAGATTCCCAGGGTTTCGTAAGACTCGCGGTCTTAAATCAAGGGAACGTTCGAATGGGTAAGGTCTAGGCATTCTAACGAAAGTAACAACAGCGGAATTTACGATGCAACAAAATAGGTATATCCAATCAAATGAAATTTCACGACAATTTTAGCACAAAGCACAATACACTAATTTATTCAAAAATAAGTACTCAATCGCAACAATTAAGAGCAAGTAATCCTAATTTCTAGCACAAGCAATGGCTGCCAAACAATGACAACCCCCAACCTATTGTCACCCTCACATGGTGACGTGCTAATGCTGAAATTAACGGGTTAAGCCATTTTACCAGAGCGGACGTGTCTGAGTCCGTATAATCAAGAGAGATGCGAATCTGCTGCTTTAGGACCACCACTATTTGTCCTAAAGATTCAGCAAATATAACCGTGCAGCTCGCCAAGAAATGCAGTTCGATTTTCAGGGGCAAAATCGTCCAACTTTTTCTATGTAACCTGAAACAGAAAACTTTCAACACGAAAAATGTTAGAAATAATATGAGGAACAAACTGCCTGAAGACACCTTCCCCAGAATCAGCCCCACGCGCCCACACGCACCGTCATCGGAGAAGCGACGCGCCGCCGCCGCCCAGACATGCGGGTCACCCAGCACCGCTTCCACCTGCAGATCACGAATCTGACCTCCGTTTCACCAAAAGACGTCTGGATTCTCCGAAAATTGAAGTTGCAGATCCGATTTTTGGGAAAAAATTCTGGACAGTTTTTATTTTGTGATTTCTGCCAGTTTTCTGGTCGGATTTTAGCCGAAAATTCCACCCAACCTCGCTCTGATACCAAATGTTGAACAATCGACCTCCAATGGTGGATTTTTCGGGCTCAGTTTAACCAATCTCTATCTTATTAAACACACCCAACCAAGACTCCAACCCAAACAACGATTGTTACTTCGGTTGCTCAACTCAATGTGTTCACAAAGAACACAATATGGTGGCTCCAATGAATCACAAAGAATAGAGGAAGACAGATTCAGTTTAAGGCTCAAGAGAGAAAACTAGAGAAAAATGTCGGCTCCTCTTTTCAATTGCACACACACACACACGGCTCATTCACAAATGAGGGCAATATATAGTTTTAGGGTGTAATAACATAGTGGGCACATGGACCAACTAATGATTAAAGGGGGCGGAACACTAATTGAGCCATCCAAGAAGTAAATGAGCCGTGAGCAACATTAACTATATTAAGTTGTTTCAAACGACTCTCGAGTTGTTTTTCGGGTTGAGTCAGTTAATCGAGTGTGTTAATAAATATTTCAATCATCGACCGAAGCCTATGAAATCTAATCCGACTATCCGACACTATTTAACATCATCGCCTGAGATTATTGGGTATCAAAAATCCAACAAAAAGATCAGTTTTCTCCATTAAAATGCCTTGTGATATTGAAAATTGGATTGTGCAAAATTTTTGAGCTTTCATCTCTTTCCGTCGTTTATTGACAAGACAAAACTCTGTGATTGACATCCTCAAGAAAACTGGTTGATTTTAAGTGAAAAACTTTACCAAATTACATCACAGTTTGATCAGCTAAGATCGACCATGTAAAACCAAGAAAATTCAGGGTCATGGAGGAGAAGGATGAAGTTCGAGCTGAGCCTTTTAGCAACTGTTGTATGATGAAACATGTTATCTCCAGGCGGTCGGTATTTTGGTCACCTTCTAGAAGCTTCTGTATATTCGATCCATATCACCAAATGCCATGTTTGAGGCAGGTAGAGATGTCGAGCATGTTAGATTTTGTTCAAGAAGCTGAAAGGAAGATGGTCGAAATGTCTGCATTGAACCTTCTTTGCATCCCATTTTTTTCAACAGTCCCAACAGATATGACTATTTGTATGACCAGGCAACAGAATGTATATATCTTAGATTACAAAATTTACTTATAAGTTAATAATGTTTTTGTTGGTCCATAAGTAACACTACTTATTAAGTGAGAAAAGACAATGTAGTCAAACATGTCCAGTACATAAGTAGACAGTAATATAAGTTACTTTTAAACTTAGTCAAACATGTCAAATAGCCCATTTCATTTTACAGGCTATTGAAATCTTGAAGCAACAATGAATGTACAGCTTGGTAACAAAGAGTTGTCACAAGCCATTCGATGGAATACCAGTAGAACTTTTCTTTTGCTTTTTCGATTTTTACTTATCTAAATTTTTTTTCTTGATTGGGACAATTAGATGGAAAGTTGTTTGTCTATGTTATCTTAAATTTATTGGCTTAGTTTCCAGAAATTTTGAGGCTGCAATCATCTACCACTCATTTTGTCCGTCTTCTCACTTCTCAATTCTTTGCAATGCTACTTACAGTGCCATTTTACAATATCTGAAGTTCCATTTAATGGTTGAACGGATGAACATCAATTAGGCATGTTTTTTTAAGGATATTTTTGAAAGATCTTCAAATGAAGTCTAATTTATTAAGTGGACACTAAATTTGTCAATTATTTTCGACGAGTTTCAAGATTTTAGCTTAGAATTGAGATTGCTAGGAGAGTTAAATAGGGCAAGCAGCTCGCACAAGTTATTCGCTGCTTGGCTCACTTATTGGCTTACATTTTTTTTTTTTTGGTAAGTCTAAAAATTTACAAAGTAAGTCTAGTTTAATAGATCCAAAAGAACTATCAACTATTCTCAACTTGTTTATATTTATGAGTTATGACTTAAGATAGAGACAGTTGATAAAAAATTTGATATAAATTACAATGAATATTATTAAGTGGAGTATAAACATGGACGATAATCTTTGAATCTCTATTCTTCGGCCTAAACTAACTTACACCTCCGTATTATGTTAACCGTCGATAGTGCAAATGAATATCCTTTACCCTCTATCTACAGTCCATTGTAATTATATATTAAATTACTTATATGACGTAATTCAATGCACCAAACATATCCTTAGGAAGATCTTTAAGTTGAAATCAACAAAACTATTAATCATTCGTACCCGGTTGAGATTCTTGTTTAGGATCGAATTTCTATTTTATTTTTTTATTTTTTAAGAATGCCTTTTTATTAAGGTCGTCAAGAAGTCAAGTCTCTAGATATAGTACTATTTGTGTTAATTACTCAAATCTCTCTCCCCCTCACTCTCTCTTTGTTTTGTTTTGTTTTCTTTTTTTTTTTTTTTTTTTTTTTTTTTTTTTTTTTTTTTTTTTTACTACACCTAGAGCCCAATAATCCCAAAATGAACTTTGTAGCCCAACCCGCAATATCAACCTAAATAGCCATGTATATATACGGGCCCCGTTCCTTACCTGGGCCAAACTAGGGTTTTAGTTTTCATCTTCTCCGGCAATTACACTAGTCGCCGTTCTCAAAAGAAGCATTCAAAAATGGTGAAGGGTCGACAAGGAGAGCGTGTCAGGTAACCGATCAAACCTAATCTGTTTATTTAAATGAATGTTTCTATGATTTTATCAGTTTTTAGTAATTTTTTGTTTAATAATGCGGTTTTGCAGGTTGTACGTCAGAGGAACGATCCTGGGGTACAAGAGGTCGAAGTCGAACCAGTACCCAAACACGTCCTTGATTCAGATCGAGGGAGTGAACAGCAAGGAGGAGGTAGCGTGGTACCAGGGGAAAAGGATGGCGTACATTTACAAGGCTAAGGTTAAACAGAATGGAACCCACTACAGGTGCATTTGGGGTAAGGTGATTCGTCCCCACGGAAACTCCGGAGTTGTACGTGCTAAATTCAAATCCAACCTTCCCCCCAAGTCCATGGGAGCCCGAGTTCGCGTCTTCATGTACCCTAGCAACATTTGAAGGTATTTGTTAATCGTTAAACTGGTTACATATGAAAGTGGTATCTAACGTAACAGGATTGTGATTGTTCTTTACTGTGTGTATTTTTGAAATGCGGATTTTATTATCTATTTGATAATGGTTTTAGTTCTTGGTTGTGGTATTTGTTGATTTTTTAATTTTTTTTTTCACGGTTTTTGCCTGTTACTTTCCTAATTATTTGCCAAATGGCATTTGAAAATTTTGATACTTTGACCTTGAATTGTTGATTTTTATATGATAAACTGACATTTAATTTGCCATGTTTTGAGGCCACAAATATGATAAATAAATGCAGTTATGTATGCTCTTTTGTAGCTGAGTACTGGTAGTGTTCAGTGCAATGTACAAGAAATTATTAGGGTTTGATATATATATGTATTCTCGTGCCTTTAATTTTAGCTACATTCTCCATGAAGTGTAGTATCCATTTGTACATTTTGATAGTGGATTATCTAGTGTTCATTATCATATAGTTAAGGCTTGGGGAAATTAAAAGGTGTAGAGAATCAAAGGTTTGAGAAATTACTGAAAAATTGTTTCCAATTTCTCTAAGGGAGTGGGAAGGGACGTAACGGTTATTGTTGGATGCTTCGAATAATTTTAATTTCAATTTTGTATCCCACTTATATCCTTTATTTTATTTTGCAATTTAACCCCACCTCATTGGGTCATTTCTGAATTTTTGATTTGGAAGTTGCAACCTGCAATATGGACATAGCTGAGCATATCCTAATATTACTGAAAATTCTAATTCAACGTAAAATTTGTAATTCATTCAGTTGCAGATTTGATTGAACCCTGATTGGGCATAATCTTTGTTTGGCAAAATTCACAAATCATTTATGAATGATCAATCTTCATTTTCAACCATATATTTCAATGGACCCACGAGTGCTGTCCACCATTTCCATCCATTTATAAATTAAACTGTTCTTAAATTCTTCTTCCCAAATAGGCTGCTACTTGGAACTGACTCTTCTTTCTCAAACTAATTCTGTACATGCATTCAAGCATTAGTAAATCTCATTTGTTTATATCTATGTTATCTTAAATTTTGGCATGTAGTGTTGTGTTGTATATTACTGAAAAATTTGATGATAGTTTACATTCCTGATATCCACTTTGTGTTCAACGAACTTTGTATCTGCATCTATTCAAAGTAGTACTTGATTATTGTTTTCAATATTTTTGAGAGGTTTGTAATGTTTATTTTCCATTTTTCCCTCTCCTTGCAGCGTTTGCAGCGTTTTTAAGTAGCGGAACAGAGTTTGAGCTTTGGTGGTTAATAGAAGGATCTTTCATGCCTTATTTTTACTCCCTATTTTGTTCATGTTTGTTTATCATCAAGGATTTTGACAATGTGGTCACTGTTTTAATCATTATTATCAATGATTTCCAGTTTTGACGTTTGCTTGCCAGAAAATGCTTCTGAGGGAGGTCCGTAAGTATGGTTTCATTAGCTTCATATATAAGATCACTGGAGGTGGCTTATTTGAATTTGTTTCGAGCTCTAGTGCCAAACTAACTTAGTTCTCGTGGCTTTAGTTTACCATTGTACACATTCAAATGCTTTGATGATTTAGAATTTGTTAGGGGGGATCTAGCTTGCTCAAAATATGTTTATCAAGATAACAGTTGCAAGGAGATGTTAGTAAAATATGCACCAAGCCATTTTGACCGAGCAAAACGGCAGCTCTTAAAGTTTTTGAGTTTCATTTTATTTATTTATTTATTTATTATTATTATTATTATTATTTATTATTTTTTACTTCTTGAGAGTCTTTGAATTGGCCTTTCGATCATCTTATAGCTTGATAAATTAGTTTAGAAATTTATCTGACCACGGTAAAAAGTAGTTTTTAGGTCTTAAAAAAAGCTTTTTGACTGCTAAACAAACCCTAAATGTGTTGCAGAACATTATAAATTATGTAATTGTCTTATGTTCATCAGAATGAGATTTTGAGGGGAAAATGTGTGTTGGAATAGTAAATTTTTTGAGAATGTATGTTTAAAGAAAAGTTTTGGATTTACTTGTAACTCTATTTTATGGAGGTATGTATGGTTGAAAGGCATATTTGGGCAAATCATTCGAATGTGGCATTTTTGGACGATGGTAGAGGTGGTTACGAACACTCTAACGATCAAAGTCAATGTATTTTTAAAGATATATTTAAGTGTAATACATGCTAAAGACGTGAACTACAAAAATAAAGTGTTTTGATATTGCGAGGTTATAAGAAGACAATAATGAGAAAGTAATTTTACCATTATGTGTGAAATTGCATTACCTTTAAATGACATTAAATATGAACTTTTATAATACAAAATATGGAATGGTAACTGTTGGACGAAAATGCACGCGACTTCATCTAAACGATCGAAGCATCTCTTTTTAGACATCAATGTATTATTTTCTAGGTTCAAAGGTATTAAATGCTTTTGAAAAGGAGCCATCCTATGAACGAGGTCTAGCATGAAAAGACTAGGCTAACAAGTTTACTTGATAAAGTGATTGTTGAAGAAAGTCATCATCAATCAATCATAAAAGATTTTAAAGGAGGATCTTCTAAGGACGAGCAATTTGCCTCAAATTGGTACTGCAACATACGTGTTGCCTCACTTTGTACATTAGAGTTCGATCGAGATCGATTGCATCACTTCGACTAGATCCCAAATAAGTCATGTAATATAATGATGTGGAGTGCGATTCTGATTTTGTTTATTAGCTTTTTGTTAGGTGATTTGTGCTTGGAGGCCGAAGCCTCATCTGACGAGGCGAAATAATAAGATACATGTCAATTCTTTATTTTGTTTTGTTTTGTCTTTTTGTTTTGTTTCTATTTTATTACTTGGGGCTAGCATGGACATTCATTCTAATCATACATTTTTCATTAAAACAATTTTTTTTTTTTTATCTCCATTCATAATTTTTCTTATTTTTAGTTCACATTAAAAAATAAAAAAAAATCATTTACAAATAATCACTCACACACAAGCTGTTGTTGAGTTTCACTTAATTTGTTATTTTTTAGTAAAGCTTCACCTTAATTTGTTCACAAAGATACCAACTCAAAGACGTTTCAACGAATTAATACTCCTTAAATGGAATTATGGAAGCAACAAAATTATTACACCATTGCATGAATTAATTAATTACCCGAAACGACAATTTCTTCTTTAATTATCATCAATTCCGTTCCATTGCATCTCTCTCTCTCTCGTCACGCATTCTGCAAACAAATTCTACGTCTCTCGCGTCACGCGTTCTGCAAACAAATTCTACGTCTGCCGTCCTTGCCTCCGATTCCCACACCCAAATATTCTCTGGTATCCAAATTTTCACAGTTTTCCCTGTTGGAGTAATTTCATATATGGGCTTCACATTCAATTGCAAATTTTACGGGTTAGATGTATAATTTATAATTATATTTATATTTGAGCCAAATTTATTAAGTGATCAATTGGACATTTTACACCTTATGAGTAATAATTAATAGGGAAAATTACCTAGAAACCTATATTTAAATACTAATTTTCAAAAATAAGGACGATTAATTTTCATTTCATAAATCAGGTGTTAATTAGATTTAATAATTATAATTAATGAAAATTTAATTAAACCGAGGTGCCACCGCCCATTTCACCCAATTCCTTCCCAAATCCAAGCCTCAAGTATTTTCATTTTCCAACCTCTCTCTCTCTCTACAACCACCCACCCAATCATTTCCCTTTTCAGCATAGTGAAACCCATTTCATTCCCAAATACAAGCCCAAGATATTTTCATTTTCCCACCTCTTTCTTCGCCCTATCCTCTCTCTCTCTCTCTACCACCACCCACCCAACCATCTCCCTTTTCGGCGCAATGAAGAAGAATTTTGGAAATCTTTATTAAGAAATATTCAGTAATAAATTGGTTAGTGTTTTTTGAAGGTGTTGATGAAAGTTATGGTAGTGATGATTGTTGTTGTGGATTTAAGTTAAAGATGTTAGTAGTGGTGGTGGTGGTTATTAGTTAAAGATGTTAGTAGTGGTGGTGGTTATTATTTTTTTGAACAGATCTGCTGTGGTGGTTGGAGATCTGGTTTTTTCTGTTCGAGATTTGATTATGACTGTTTGTGACCTAATTTGTGTTGATTGTGACCGGTTGTGACTTGAGATTAATCTGGTCACAGACAATCACATTGAATACAAGCTTGGTCACAAACCTCGTATCAATTTACCCTAGATCTTGTATCAATTTTTAACCCACACACTCTATTTCTTTCCCCAAAAATTAGTTCGGCATTCTCTCACCTAAATATCGGATCTACGACTTCTTCCCCACCCACCCTTTAGATTCTGACCACCTACCACTTCTCTCACCAGAGTTTCACGAGAGAAGTTTGGTGGTGCTGGTAGGTGTTTTTTGAAATGTTGGTGGAAGTTATGGCAGTGATGATTGTTGTGGATTTGAGGTGAATGCAGTATTTACGGTCATCAATTTGAGTTAAAGATATTAGTAATACTTGTGGTTATTATTTTTTCGAACAGATTTGCTGTGGTGGTTGGAGATCTGATTTTTCTGTTCAAGATCTGGTTGTGACTGTTTGTGATCAATTTCGTATTGATTGTGACCGGTTGTCACTTGGGATTGATCTGGTTACAAACAGTCACATTGAATACAAATTTTTTCACAATTAGTCACATCGAAGGCAAAGTTGGTCGCGGTAATTCTCAGATAACATAAGTCAGTGAATTGATCACAAATAACACAAGTGTGGTCATGGATAACACGACTACAAATCTGATAACTACAATGCACCAGTACGACCATCACAATTTTTGGAGATTTTTCTATCATTGAAATCGAAACAATTGGTGAAATAGTCGTCGGAGCAGTTTGCCGGAGCAGTCACTGAGTGTTTGCCGCATCAATTTTTTGGAACGGTTGCCGGACTAGTCGTTGGAGCTGCTGCCTGAGCGGTCTTCAGAGTGAATGCCAGAGCCGATGACTATGTCCGATGAAGAAGTTAAGGGAAGGTGGTGTGGTGGGGTGATAAGATGGGATGAGTGAGGTGGCATGGAGTGAAAATAATTAATATATATTATATTATAGTTTAATATTTAATAAATATATTTACCATCTGATTTTTGAAATATTTGAATGAGTTTGTTATTTATGAAATGTGCTTTTATAATGTTGTAGTTATGTAGTCTTCCCTAATTAATATGATGTGATAATTTTAAGTATGTAGATCGAAAATAAACCCTAATTAGAATTCTAGTCGTAATGGGACGATTCAATTATTTCCTATATAAAGGCTATATCCCCTATCCTCTCCATTATTATTTTATTTAGCTTGCTCTATTGATAACTAATATTTTATGAGGAGCAAGGAGGGGAAAATCTGGCTGCTATTACAATTACAACTATTATTCATATCAACAATGGCTTTCGCAGGTATAAATTCATTTTATTAATTTATTATATGGTGATTCTTGATTCTTAACATGATTACAATTAATAATCCTTTAACAAAAAAATAAATAAATAAACGATCTGTGTATTGTTTGATTTTCAATGAACCTTGCCTCCAAAGTAATAGCTCTCCAAACATCTTTTATTTAATCGGTGGGCATATATTTTCCTTCATCGGTTCCTTTATCTCCTCCCAATTAGAAACTAACAGATGCCAAGTGAGATGCATTATGAGTTTTTCTCTGATAATGGTACACCAATTGAAGCAATTCTAATGGTAGTTGACAGCTCTTCAAAAGCATTTCACTCCTTTTTTCTTTTTGGACTTTGCTACAAGTACATTGGGGGCTACATAAGGGATGATTGAAATTTTTTTTTTTTTTTTTTTTTTTTTTTTTTTTTTTTTTTTTTTTTTTTTTTTTTTTTTTTTTTTTTTAAATTGATGAATTGTGTGGTGTCTAATATGATTGGTTGATTGTCCGCCGAAAAATCGCAGAACTGTCGCAGCGACTGCGTCGGTCGCCACATGTGATGCCGGCCGCCGTTTGGATGAGGCGCCGGTCTCCCCTACCTTTGAAATAAAAATAAAAATAAAAAAGGGTTTTCATAAAAACGAAAGGTAGTATGGGTGGTGACGGGCGCTCCCATTGCAGTATTTTTAGTTTCTCTTGAAGGGTTCTGCCACTATGTTCTCAGTAAAAGGGGGAGTTAACGGTTGGTGAAGTACTCTCCTATCACTACCGTTTTGCTTGGCTTTCAAATTGACTATGCCCTTATTTAGCCGATCCAATTTCCATCGTTCCTTCGACCTTGCAGCGGGCTTGTGCCTGATCGAGTCGATCTTCTCTCCAGGTGGTCAAATTACATGACTTTATATGATAAAAACTGCTTCCAACTCACTTCAAGTTTTGACCTCAGGTGACGACATTTGCTTGCTGTTGTTAGTCCTGTTCCTAAAGGGCTATTCTCTTGGGAACTGCAAGTTCCTTCGAAATTTTGACCTGGAATTTCTGCCCTGAATAGGAGATTCCAGTTCAA